ACCAAAAAAAAAAAAAAAAAAAAAAAAAAGTCGCAGCGTTCATTGCAATCGTGGATAAAAGCCTTCCAACAGTTTAAATTTATATCCACTTTCTTTTTCCTGGTGTCCGGTCCCACTAGCAGCGTTGAGTGAATTTCCTCAACCGCCTGAATCTGGTCATGTTTGTGGAGATGTGCAGAAATGTCGTTGAGTTTTCTCAACCGCACATCTCCACAAAGACGTCCAGATTCAGGCATTGAGGAAACTCACTCAACGCTGCTAGTGGGACTTGGCCCCTGGCATTCGGTGCAGAGTGAGAGGGGATGGACCAGTAGACTTGGTGGTGGTGAGGGGGGCCTCAACGCCTGAATCTGGTCGTGTTTGTGGAGATGTACAGAAATGTCGTTGAGTATTCTCAACCGCACATCTCCACAAAGACGTCCAGATTCAGGCGTTGAGGAAACTCACTCAACGCTGCTAGTGGGACTTGGCCCCTGGTGTTCGGTGCAGAGTGAGGGGGGATGGACCAGTAAACTTGGTGGTGGGGAAGGGGGCGGGGGGGGGGGGGGGGGGGGGGGGGGGGGGAAGGGGGCAGGGGGGGGGGATAGTTATGAAAGAATAGTTGTGAAAGGAGAGAATAGGACATGGAACGGAAAGAGAAGAAGGCAAGGCAAAGGTAAGCCACACAGTAACGATACATGGATGAGTGGGTGAGAGAGCCAACCGACAGACATATCGTAAATTCGTAATGAATGACCGAGTGACCGTGTAGTGGGCAGACAGTTGGATGTAAGGGAAACCGGCAAAATAACCAAATGAATGGATTTGCAAATTGATTGACATGAGAAAGGAAGAGGACAGGGACAGTGAATGAAAGAAGGGCAGGGCAGGGCAGGGCAGGGCAGGCAGGAAATCAGTGAAGAAACACTGCCAAGCAATTGTCTAATCTGATGGGAGTCGTCACATGGATTTCTCTTGTGAACACAGATGGGATTCACTCTCGACTGATGAGATGAGATGATACAGGACACAGAGAGAGAGAGCAAGCCGTGAAACCTGCAGTGTAGTGAGAACTGACGAGATGCGAAGACATCAATTCCTGACTCGCACACACACCTGACAAGATAGTGTTAGACGAGGCGCAAAGAGCAATAGTAAAAAACCTGCACTCCAATCTGAAATGATTTGAGAGTGTGACTACCATGGCGCACTGCTGCTGCTTGCTAAGTTGGGCGAACGTGGATGGTTGTGCACGAACACGGATGCTATGTTGAGCAGCATTCATGTCCGTCCGACAGCAACCACCTAGTTTTCCTAGCTTCGCAAAGAGCGGCAGCAGTGTGACCCGGCTGTTAATCGCAGCAGACTCGCCGCGACACCGCAGAATCACCACGGCATATTCCCAGTGATACACACCAAATGAGCAAAGTTAGAGATGACACCAAACCCACTCAAAAGAAGGATCACAGCACATCTGGCGACGCTTGGTAGCAAAGAAGAGGGGCAAGGATGTCAAACATCAAAGGAATGAAGTAACTAGCAGTGACAGGGACAAACTCCCACAGACGGAAAAGGAGACCTGGAGATGGTGGACAATGGCGATTCGACCCAAGGAAAGACAAATCCGCTGACCCAATGGACGGAAACGACCAACAGGATGGAGAAGTTTATGACTGCAATCAGGGGCACATTCAGGTCATGTCAAGAACAAGATGCTCTGCTTTTACTCATCTTATGAAATATACTATTTTCCCAGATACAATCTAGAAGACTAGAACACAATTCAATTACAGAGATTTTCCACCACATCCTCTCCTTTCCTTTCACCTCTGGGCCATTCTGTAGAATAGACAAAGATCATCGGGTTTCTTCCAAACATATGCACGCACTGTCGCCAAGCTCATATCGGCCGGCAGGACCTGTATGAACAATACGACGTTCAAACGAAAAGACAGAAAGTTCAGTCACTGGACACTCAGCACAGACATACAGCTCAACCAATTAAAATGAAACCAAAAGAAAAACAGAAAACAACAAGTAAAGATTCTTCGCATACTTGCAACCGCACCGTGCGCCGTACTGTGCGGTGCGCCGTACCTGCTCGTGCGCCGTACCAGTGCCAGTTTCCCTTTTTTTTTCCCTGTTTTTGTAGATACAGAAGAGTGCAACACCTAAAGAACTGATCTTTTTCAAGTACAGTCATACAGATTTTTCTTTCCGTCCAATTGGGCATGAGAAATAGCCTACGGTGTCCGGGACATCAGTCTTGCCTCTTGACCTTTACGTAGCCCCATTACCCTCCCACTAGGTTTTCCTTTTTTTTTTCCCATCCCACAACAAATCTTCGAAGGGGACGCAGGTGACCGTCGACCCAGCCATGCAACCCCTTTTTTTTTCTGAGTGTATATTTCCCCCGTGTGCCGCACATGCCATGCGCCACACCGTTCAGGTCCGCTCGTGCGCCAGGCGTGCAAAATTTCCCTCACGGCATGCGCTTGCATGTATGATTCTGTGACATGTGCCAAGAACTCGAGTGAATTAAGTGTCGAGTCTATCGAACCTATCTAAAGATTCTAAGATAATCCTGAGCTACCAGGCAGTCCAGGCCCCGATACTCTGCCAGATGCCCCATCCTAGATGTCTGGGCTTACCCCGTTAGTCTAGATATCCACAACAGCAACTTTTTATTTTTATTTTTATTTTCAATTTGGACCATTTTTCAATTGAAAAGTGTGTTGTCCATGTGCAGGGGCCATTCTAATCTCCTCCGCATTATTCCAATTAACGATGTCCTGAAGGACCACTACAGCAAAATTTTAATATTATTAGAACACTTGTAGAAGAGAAAAAAGTTCAAAAAAACTTGTTCGTCAGCGAGAAATTGTTTGTGGAAACTTTGTACTGCATTCCTCCACAACATCTCCTTTTTCAAGTTTTTGAAGTTTTTTCCCTCATATTTTCAGAACTGGTGTTCGAGCCGCCCACAGGTGACAGGACCCCGCCGGTTGGCTCCTCAACAGCCCCAGAACAATTTTGTGTGCGCCGTTTGGAGGCCTGGATACGGTCAGGGTGCCCTCTGGTAAGACTCCGAAAAAGTCCGAAGGCTTCCCTGCAGTGTCAAAAAAAAAAGGGCCTACCTAGTACCCACCCCATTTGTTTTTCCCACTGGGGCCGCCAATCTGACCAGAACGTCTGCCCAGATCCACTGCCGCCAAAATGTCATCTGCTCGGCATCGCGACCTTACTAGCTCCTCCCCTCCCATAGTGACCTTCCTCCCAACCATTGCCACCATTTCCTCTCCCGATCGTGACCCTCCTTCCCCCACTTCGTCGTCCGCTTGCCACCATTGTTGCCAACTCCCCTCCCCAGATACCCAGCTGCAACCCCCTCTCCCCGTACCCCCCAGGCCCCATACCGCGCAGTTCCGTTCAAAATTGTAGTGTGGGTTCTGCATGCTCTCAGTGAGTGAAGTCAGCTCCGCCTGCTAAAAACAAAACAAAACAAAAGTCACGAGCACTCTCCGGCCCAGCCGGTTTCGCTGGGCAGCACCCCTGCTCATTCAGGCGAAGACGGTCGTTTTACAAACTTCTGTCACTTGGGAAATATTTGATATGGTTATGATCCGGACGTCCAGATCGCAGAAGGGGATGGTCCAGGTTGGTGTCCGGTCCAGATGTCCGCATCCACAACCACGCCCCTCCCTCCTTCCCCCCCCCCCCCCCCCCCCCCCCCCCCCCCCCAAAAAAAAAAAAAAAAAACGACTATCCTTGATGATCGCTTGATCGATTTTATTATAAAAAAAAAATCCGGCGAAATTCGTACGTACACCAGCCAAACTGGGACGAGTTACAAAAACGATAGCGGCAACAGCCAGGCCAAAACGAAAAATAAGCAAAAAAAAGAAAAGAAAAAAAAATTAAAAAATCGAAGGACTGCTGCGTCACAGAATAAAAGGAGCCTTGTTAAAAAAAAAAAATAAAAAAAAATGGAAGGAAGTACGTGGCGAGAAGAAAGATTAGGGGAAAAATTTGGGAGAACGTCTCTCTGTCTCCTCGAACAGAGCCAACTCACTGGGAAGTATTCAAGAATTTTCGAAGGGCATACTCACACTAAGACTTGGCTAAATGTATCAGACTACAATTACGGCCAGATCTCGATGAATCTGACAGCAATCACGCCGAGAGCTTGGTAGAAAAATTTATAGTGTGAGTATGCAACGAGATTAAAAAAAAAAAAAAAAAAAAGTAAAGCAAACTCACCTGATCTTATCAAAGCCAAAGCCAATGTCCGCCGGAGGCGAGAAATCTGAGTAAGCACGCCTGTGCGTCTGTTAATTGTCGCGTGTCCACCGGAAGAAAGAACCGAGAAACGGTGTCAGGAGCAAAACAAATACAAAAAAGCAAAATAGAGATTAAATTTATTAATTAATTAACAAATAAAACGAAAAACAAATAGCGAACAACACACCCAAAGATAAAACGCGGGAAAAAAAAGAAACTGTGCGTCTGTGAATTGCCGCGTCCACAGGGAGAAAGAAC